TAAGTAATTAAGTAAACAAAAACTTTTATTTTGGATGCGATTAATCGTGATCAATCGTTTGACAGTATATATATATTTATATATATATATATATATATATTGGAATGGAGTGATCATAGGCCTCATTGCTCTGAGCTTATGCATCTACATTTTTTAGTCTGTATTGCCAAAATTATCCATAAATAAATTTTTTATTCTTTTTTTGCAAATCTGTGGTAATTGAAAGAAATCAAGTTGACAAAAAGATTGAATCCAGTGTCATAATGTTGGCTACCACATCTAATCCATGAACTGAAAGAAAGCAAATGTTATGGTAGTAGTCTGGCACTTACAATGGAAGTAAACAGGGTCATGCAATACATATTAAAATATACAAAAATTAAACATCCTGTTAACGTCAGACTAGTGTGATAAAATCACTTGCAATCCTTGTCTTTGCAAAGTTATACCACAATACATCCATTTGTGTTGTAAAGCCAGAATTTTTCCACCGGTTTCATCCACACAGTGAAAGTCAGTAGGTTCCATAATAAAATTGGACCCCAGTGACTTTCATTGTATGGACAAAAATACATTTTCAAAAGAAAAAGTCATGCAGGTTTTGAAATATCATTAGGGTGAATAAATAATGTATTTTCTTTCACTTACATGGTCCTTTTTTACTTCAATTGATAGTGCCTTACTTGACTGTAATTTTTTTTTTTTATATAAATATATATTATTCTCTTTGGTAATTGACATTAAGCCACAAATACTGACAATAACCCAGAACATTCCTGTACTTTAGGTTCAGAAGTGCAGATAAAAAAGAAATGTACCGGTCGTGATACTAGATAAATGTTTTTGACCACAAAAAATGTAGTTAATTAAACTTACTCGATAGTAATCTGAGCTGTAGATGTCTCTGGACATCCCGAAGTCTCCAATTTTCACGAGCAGGCCGTTACCCACGAGGCAGTTGCGGGTGGCCAGGTCACGGTGCACAAAATGCTGGGAGGACAGGTAGACCATGCCTGCCGCTATCTGTGTAGCGATATGAAACATCTGCGAGAGACCAAGTTCCCCATTAGACTGCATCGGTTGGCCATCAACAAGGATCATGGCGTCTGGACCATGGGCTCTGAAACGTGGGGAGAAAGGCATGTTGGTTACACTTGTTAGTCTTGGCAGTAATTGTCCTTCACTGCTGAGCTTCGTCCAGGTTTGCAATTACTTGTGTTAGGGATCCGAGCAGGGAAAATTGATTATGGATCAATGTAAAAGGGCACAGGGTCGAAGTGTTCAAACGCACTGCCTTATTGCCCTATAAAATAATTCCCCCTCTAATCCTTTAATCCTGTAAAGCTGTCTAATTTGAAGTGAGTAAGTCAAGGCAAAGAAAGATGTGCTTTGACTTTAACTGCCTGGTGAAATAAAATCACCTATTCAGTTAACTTTTTGATTTTCTCTTCACTCAGGGAAAATGATTTTTGTCTGATTGCGGCAGCATTTGCATAAGGTGGCTGTTCAAAAGGGCTCGACTGTAATTTGTGTATCTCTTCTGGTCAGTGCCTCTTCAGCAGCGTGCTCTTCAACTGTATGTTGAAGAGCTAACAATCCCAGCAGCAAACCAGCAGCTGGTTTCGGAAAAAACAAACAAACAAAGAAAAAAAACTTTCATTTTCATAATCTGAAGAGAGATCAGTTACCATAGAAATGTGAATCCCACCAAATGTGCACAGCAATCTCCCTACATTCCCAGAAAAAAACTTGTATGTTGTCTATGTATTTGAATAGTGTGCACTGTGCAGTAAACTTAAAAGATATTACAATTTATATGTACACTACCGTTCAAAAGTTTGGGGTCAGTAAGATTTTTTTTTTATTATGTTTTTTAAAAAAGTGTTTTATGGTCATGAAGGCTGCATTTATTTGATCAAAAATACAGTAAAAACGGTAATATTGTGAAATATTATTACAATTCATAATTTCGGTTTTAATATATTTTAAAATGTAATTTATTCCTGTGATGTGAAGCTGAATTTTCAGCATCTTTACTCCAGTCTTCAGTGTCACATGATCCTTCAGAAATCATTCTAATATGCTGATTAGGTGCTCAAGACACATTTTTATTATTATCAATGTTGTAAACAGTTGTGCTGCTTAATATTTTTGTGGAAACTGTGAGACCTTTTTTTTTCAGGATTTATTTTAAATATAATTTTTGTCTTTACTGTCACTTTTGATTAATGCATCCTTGCTGAAAAAGTATTATAATGTAAATAAATCTAACTTAATAAAAATTATACTGACCCCAAACTTTTGAACTAGTGTATAATCAACAACTTAGTCCTTGCTTTTATAATGTATCATAATTTATGATTCAATTACATATAGTCTTTACCTTGTATGTAAATTTTAATATTTTAAATACTTTTTGATTCTAACCAAAGTTTGTGAGTCATGAACCAAACCAAACCACAAGTTGGGATTGAACTGTTGGTTAGTTTATGACTTAACTTAAAATTACTGAAGAGTATTTCTTGAAATGCCTATAGAGTAAATGACTGGGGGGAAAAAATCCTAACCATGGCTGCTGAAAAACTAAGCTGTACACTGTTGTGCACTATTCTTCAAATGATATACTCTGACTTGTCTAATATGATATACATCCTTTTGCTGTCCATGAAAATCAACAAGACATGTATCATAGCAGCTTTTCTAAAAATAATTTCATCATCATTTTTTTTCTTGAAATGCAAGTCTGGCCATCTGCATAAGTGTAAGAAAAAATTATCTCACTACACAAAAGAATAATTTATTATCAACACCCATCACTTTGCTCCCACAAGACAATAAGCTCACTCCAGTACTCTATCTGCCTTTATATTTTCACAGTTCTCCCCTGCAAATTATAATTCATATGGCCTCAATTCACCTTGCGACATGCATACAATGAAGTTCAATCACATGCTGCCATTTTGAAATAGAATCTTGTGTCTCAAAACCTAGTGAGCTGTTTCAATATCTAATGCCTATGGGCAGCTGTCTATATAAACAGCATTGAAACTGACATGAAATTTCATAGTTGAGTGATTTGCTGAAGGAGCAGTAACCTTATGCGACTCATAGTTGAAATGGTAAAATTATACATATACATATTTTAAATCATACTGTATATAACTACTTCCCATCAGTAAATCTTTCAGTTCTCTTTAATATCTGAATGACTTCTGCTAAACAGTGATGACATGAAATGGAGAACAAAAAAAATCTTCAGAAGAGATCTCCGTAATGTTTGAAATTGCTCACAGATCAAATTATCTGAGATATTATGCATAAATCTCTGTCCATTTTTATTTATCCTAAAGGATTTTAAGAAAAAATATTTTAGACAAAGTTGGTACTACAATAAAAATAACAGAAATTAAGTTTACTGTGCCACCTGTGAGCAATACAATTTTCCTCTGGGTTGGCTCTATCCAACATATATATATATATATATAAATATAAATCATTGCTTGTTGCAACGCATTATAAAATTACATCATTCATGAAGGAAATGTGATATTCCCAAAACTTTTGGCCAAAATTAGGTATCTTAGGAGGTAGAATAATTTCACTACCTACAATTTCAGACAGCTTTTGCTTAGGGAGTTCATAATACACTATAGTCCTATAATTCCAGCCCAGACTCATTTCCTGTGGCAACATTTCTGCAAAATGATATTGTCACTTCTTGCATGTCACTTCTTGCGGCACTTTAAAAGTGAAATGTCCAGTAAGTGATGATAGACATATGTGCCTGGCAACGTTTTATTAGTTTGGCTGTTGTACATATCGCGACAATGTCCAGTGAGTGGAACTGAAAGGTTAATATTCCGTTACTTTCGAAAATAACGTAATACCCACATATATTGTAAACAAAAGCAAACATGAGACAATAGATTTTAGCTTGCTTCTACCAGTCATTGAGCTGTTTTATCGTGACTTGTGTTTCACAGGGCCGACCTGCAAGTGCAATGCTGTACCAGGTGGGCTACCAAGCAAGTTTACTACATTAAAAAATGTGTACATATTAGGGATGTGCGCTACGACTAATTTCAAAGTTGTTTAAATGGAAATTTTGTAACCAACTGGTCGACTAAGTAAGAAACCCTTAGAAGACATTGTGATTATGCGATCCATTTGGAATACTTAATCTATTAATCAAACAGCACTCTAAAAAATGCTGGGTTAAATATAACCCAGCTATTGGGTTGTTTTGAACCCAACCGCTGGGTCAAAACAACCCAACCGCTGGGTCAAAACAACCCAACCGCTGGGTCAAAACAACCCAATAGCTGGGTCAAAACAACCCAATAGCTGGGTTTTTCCCTTTTTAACCCAGCATTTTTTAGAGTGAGTCAACTAATTCCAGACACCTTATTATTCGAATTATTGAGCTCTTATTTTCCATCAAAATGTTAAAATGTACAACACTGACAGACAGCAACAAAAGCATCAGATGTGCTGAATGAAAATGCAAATGCCCTCTCTGACATTAGGTGGCGCTTTTGGACAAGCAGAAATACAGCGGTTACCATGGTTGCTCCTGTATACAAAACAGCAATACATTTTATAAGGAATTATAAGGAGATAACATGAAAAAAAATGTCAATTAAATATTTCTGAAGAAAGTCTGTTCCCTTTCGTTCATAATGTTTCCCCCTTTAAACCGGTAAATACTCTCCCACACCTTGCTCCTTGTTTCCAAGCGGACATTTCTGAGCAGGCACTGAGTGACACGAAGAAAACGCATGCATGCAATGTCTGAGGCGAAATTAAATGAATTATGTTATCCGCTCCAGATATTCACTTTTCAAAATATTTGATTATTTTTAAAAAAGTTTAACATTAAAATTACTAAATTTAGACTAGTATTTCCAATGTTGACTAGCAGCAGCAGTTCCGTTTAGCCGACTAGTCCGCTATTCTCGCACATCCCTAATACATACGGAGCTTATGTGATGCAAACATCACAATGTATTAGTTTGCAAATCATGTGCTATAGTAAAAGCTTTTTGAGGTCATAACATAGTATCGTGCAGGGAACTGCATGAAAGTTCTTTAATAATCAATAATCTGGCATTGTAATCATAATTTGTGTGATAAAGAATAAAAGTTGTTGGTGTTTTACTATCTCTAGTGTTCATTTCAGCTGGAAACTGCAGTGACTTGTATTTATAGGTACAATTTTAGAGGCACGTTTTTGTGTAATTCCCACTGAAATCCCAATAAAAATACCTCAGAAACTTATTGAGGTCTTCATGCTTCATGTACTCAAACACCATGATGAGAGGGTCACCGTCCACGCACACGCCGTAGAACTTCACAATGTGCTCGTGCTGGAGGTTGGTGAGGAGCTCGGCCTCCCTTTGAAAGTCTTTTCTGGCAGTCAGGGTCGGATCTTTAAGAGTCTGAGAAACAAAAAGCATGTTCAATCTAGGAGGTGTACAGATGAAAACAAATGGAGAGTGGGATGCCACGTTTTTACTGAAGTTGTCCTCTAGGCAAGGAGAAATGAGATGGAGGTTAAACTAATATGCCAAATTGCATTTCAGGACGTCTGCCATCAACTGAAAAGAGATGAAAATGTACAACAAAAGGCCACAGCGTGACTTCTCAAAACGAAAGTGCTTCAGTGACACGACTTGCATAAACATGTCATGTTAATGGCTAAGTTCATTGAGGAGTTTTCAAATAAAACGATGAATACAAACAGTATACGTAATAAATCCAAATGTAATGTCTCATTTTGCTGCACATTATTTTGATTTTTATAAACCAGTCTAGCAGAGGTTGAATATTTCGGAATATTTGCAACATTTTCCAGTGGTGTTTGTAATTGTATTTCCTGACACAGCATAACAAAAACACAACCATTTAATGTTCCCAGGAACTCCAAAGTGCTTACTAGCCTTTTCGCTGTGAGTTCTGCTCCTACCAATTAAGTGATAACTTAGCCTGAATGGCACATGATGCAATTTGATTTTAATTACAGAATTCCCCTGATCTCTCTGACACAAGCAGAGGGAGGCATCGACAGAGAATGGCGTATATGACACAGATGGTGAAGCGCTCATTTCCGTCGGGGGAAGTGTTAGTGCCATGCTACTCAACACAGTCCTGACGTGCATGCTGGCTTTCTGTTGCAGCATCCTGCAAGATATCCTCATGACACCAGAGTATTTTCACAGCATCTTCAGTTATCTTTATGATGTAATAGTTTCAATCGCTCTGGTGACTGAGGCAGTACATTGGATTAGAGGAGGAAGTTCAGATGTGGAGAGCGCTGATGGTTAAATGATATTATTGGCCTTAAGATGTCATTCTAGACCTGTTCTTAACTGGTTTTGCAAAAGGACCCATATTTTACATTGGACATCAAGTGGAGAACCAATATCTGGAGAGTGCTTTCCGATGGTTAAATGATGTTATTGGCCTTAAAAGTAGTTCTAGACCAGTTCTTAACTGTTTTTTTCAAAAGGACCCATATTTTACGCTAGAGACAAAAATTGTTTATCATTCAAAAGTAAAGATTTTGTTTTCTGGTTCATTCTTTGGACACAAAACACACAATCCATGTTTATCCTTGTCACTACACACACGCATCCAATGCGATAACATTAACTAGTATTTTCGGGAAAAAGAAAAAATTTTCAGAGCAAAAAGGACCCGAATACCACATGAGGGTTAAAAAGGCGGTTCATGCTCGAAAACTCTCCAATGTGGCTGAATTACAACAATTCTGCATAGATGAGTGGACCAAAATTCCTCCACAGCGCTGTAACAGACTCATTGCAAGTTATCGCAAACGCTTGATTGCAGTTGTTGCTGCTAAGGGTGGCCCAACTAGTTATTAGGTTTAGGGGGCAAACACTTTTTCACACAGGGCCATGTAGTTTTGGGTTTTGTTTTCCCTTAATAATAAAAACCTTCATTTAAAAACTGCATGTTGTGTTTACTTGTGTTATCTTTGACTAATATTTAAATTTGTTTGATGATCTGAAACATTAAAGTGTGACAAACATGCAAAAAAATAAGAAATCAGGAAGGGGGCCAACACTTTTTCACACCACTGTATATGTGTATATAAAACCAGTAGAAACACAAAACTGCAGTTTGACAAGATCAACAAGATTTCTATCTATTGGAACTGGATTGTGAAAAGTTGGTGTAACAAAACCTAGTTGAAAGTAAAGCTTAAAAAGAAAAAACAAGTTTTAAATTTTGACCCAAACTTCTTTAGATTGTGTGAAATGAGAGCAGAAATGTGCATTTACTTTCATAATGCACATTCCTGGAAATGGCATGGAGTGCACAGAAGAAATGCATCTATTCTGAGAAAAGTCAGAGCAAAGCAAAGCCAGAAGAAGGTGCTTTTAACTGCAAAAAACATGCCTTACCTTCACAGCCACCAGCATCTTATCTTTGGTGGGGCTGAGGTTGTAACATTCAGCCAGAAACACCTTCCCAAAAGCTCCCTCACCCAGCTCCCTCTTCAGAACAATGTCCCTCCGTTTAATATGCTGCACATCTGAAAGAGAAATACAGAAAGAGAAAACCATAACGTTATTAAATTTGTGTTTTGTATGTCAAGGTCATGAGTTCACAATGGTGCAGTAAAATGAGACTGGATTGTAAAAGGATACTGCTGTGTTGTTTTTATAATTATATCATTGAACTATTATTGTATTTATTAATATTTTGAATTAGCTTTAATATTTTCAGTTTCAATTACATTTTTAGTTGAAGTAAATGTATTTGAAATTTTAGTACTTCTTAAACTTGCTTTAATTTCAGTTAGTTGCCCACAGGATTATTAAACTATATATATATATACTACAAATGAAAAATAAACAGAAAAGTATTAAACAGAAAATAAAAAATAATTCAAAATATTAATAAAAACTATAATAGTATCTGAGTGATACCAAGTAGCCAAGGCAACATTTCTAATCCAGTTTAAGCTTTTAATTTAATATTTATATATTATTTTAGCTTTATTTAAAGTAATGTTGTTGTACAGTATGTCTTGTTTTCCCCAGAACATAGCATATGTGTTTGGAATTATGTTTTTTTTTTTGTTTTTTTATGAACAAAAAACAAAAAGCTCTGTCAGTGAATCTCATCAACTTCCATAATATATGATCATACAATGACGAGAGAGGTCCAGGCATACAATTATCCAAATAATATCATCACAAGAGACAATGTTCCTCAGGAACAGGTGGCAAAAATGAGTGTGGAAACCCGAGCCAAATGAAATATGAGTGACAGGTTATCTGTATGCGCCCGTTGTGCATGATGTGTTTATGCATACTTGTACAAGTGTAAATAAAGGCTTCAATCGTGAGCTGTTCGCATTGTGTAAAAGGTCAGTTCCCATGCAGATGGTGTTCTAGAATTGCTGCTCACAGTTACAGCTGGATATTTTCTGCGTGTTTTTTGTCTCCTCTTGAGTTCTCGTTTTCAAAACAAAACGAGTGTGATGCAAATGAGTCAATTGTAAAAGGGAACTCACCTGGGACTTGTAATGCTTTGCCATCAATGTTCATTGTCATTTCCAATTATTTGTAGCTTAAATTTAAAGTAGCTTAAAAGCAAAAACGCTCTACCACAAAAAGGCTAGAAAAAAGTCTACATATATGACTCTACACAAACATAACAGCCTCTCTTTTCCTATATCTAATTATTTAACTATCTACTCATTGGCCTCTACCAAACATTTCATTAATAAAGGCAAACAGTTATGTAGATATAAGTTTCTAAATGAATCAACTGACACCACAGGCTATTATTCACACGCATGATGTAAACATATCATATATCCTGTTATACTGCTGTCAGATCAAAAATAACCATTTGCTCTATGCGTGTCCTTGTAGTGGTTGCTATGGTGAAGCCACACACAGAGATATTGTGAATTTATATAATGTTTTGGTCATTGGGTCAAAGCTGCTATTCTGAGGCAAAACAGTGTGTTTTGCAATAAAAGATAATAATTAGTCCTGTACATTTCCAGTTTTTATAAATCAGCATATTCTGGGTAAACAAAAGTACACTCTCAGAAAAAAAAGGTACTAATATGTGCTCTTTAGATATTAATATGCACCTTTTAAGGTACTAATATGCATCTTTTAGGGATAAATAAGATACAAAAGTACTGTTTGAAAAGGTAGCAACCCAGTGACAGCTTTTGTAGTTTTTTTCTGAGTGTAGATCCATGCAGAACAAATTGGCAATGCCAACTGAAGTGTGTATGTGTGTGTTTGTATATATAATGCATTATAAAATATTCATATAATGCCTTCTAATGCACATTGTAATAAGTTGAATGTGTTTTTATAGCCTTTAGCTGTAACCAGAGTTAATATCATCTATAATCATTTATAATACACAATCATTTCACAATAATTATAATACTTATAAATGCATATTTATTGTAATAAAGAATAAGATGCATCAAAGCATACGATCAACAAGTACATCAGTCACATTCTAACATTTTATAATTGTACATGTTTTTGTTGCATTACTAGATGAGTATTGTAATGCATTCAAATGTGGCATACAATAAATGTGATTTTATAATTAGTTATTATGAAAAAGAAATGATGCATTACAATGTGGATTATGAATATTTTTATAAAACACATGTGACCCTGGAACACAAAACCAGTCTTAAGTGTCAATTTTTAAAAATTATACATCATCTGAAAGCTGAATAAATAAGCTTTCCATTGATGTATGGTTTGTTAATATTTGGTCGAGATACAACTATTTGAAAATCTGGAATCTGAGGGTGCAAAAAATTAAAAAAATATATTGAGAAAATCGCCTTTAAAGTTATCCAAATGAAGTCCTTAGCAATGCATATTACTAATCAAAAATTAAGTTTTGATATATTTACGGTAGGAAATTTACAAAATATCTTCATGGAACATGATCTTTACTTAATATTCTAATGATTTTTGGCATAAAAGAAAAATCGATAATTTTGACCCATACAATGTATTTTTGGCTATTGCTACAAATATACCCCAGCGACTTAAGACTGGTTTTGTGCTCCAGGGTCACATATATAGTGTTTTCAAGTTATTATTTATATTTAATTTGTTGACAATAAATTTTAAATATGCAAATAATGATAAAATATTTATAATCCACATTGTAATGAATCATATCTTTTTTATATGGTAACTGTAATTATAAAACCACATTTATTGTTGCCCTTATGGCAAGACGTTATACTGACTTTTTTTTTGCATCAAGCTCTATTTTATTGACAGTCATAAATTGAATATTTTAATAAACACTTAACTTGAAACCGGTACGTGCTTCATAAAAGTATACAAACTGTCAATAAAACGGCAAGATTATATTCAGTATGACACTTGAGCCACTGACAGACATCCAGTATCAAGTGCTACAATCATCATTGACTCTCAGAGACTCAAGCAGCAGGGATCTAGTGGATTGAAGCAGGATCAGGTCAAGTCTGGAGCACCTTCCCGTCCCCCAACACCTCATTTATATTCACTTGTTCTTCCATTAAGTGGTCCACTGGGGTTGTCCCGTCCTCTGAGTGAACAATTACATGTGCACCTGCCGTAAGAGTCTGGGATGGGTTAGCTTAACCTTCAGCTTCCCACCCGACCGGTAAAGCCCGGCTCCCTCCGCTGCCTATTTACCACAATCCATTTGTGGAAAGACTCTGAATTAGAAAGGCACTATCCCAAGACTCATTGCCATTTATTTATTCCTCACCCTGACTGAACCTGTATCAGCCCCTGAAGGCTGAAATTAGGAGAGCACACAGGCAGGTGTGTTTGTGGCAGCAAAAATCTATGATTAAAAATAATGCTGTTCATTCTTATTGAAGCAATCAAAATTTCTCAGTTAAAAGGAATTCAATTCATCAATTTAAAATGCTAAACAAGCTTATTCTGAAAGCATCACTATGGTGTTATAACAATGAACACATGACTGCCCACATTTACATATTCAACAATTTGGAATGTCCTGATGAAGAGAGAAATAGGCCAGTTCGTAGAGGTAAACCGAATAAGAACAGGGTTGTACACTATTCAGAACTGAATTGAATGCCATTTGAATTATAATTCAATATCCTGAATTTTAATTGAAGAAAAAAAAAGGAAGTAGAATTAATATGAATTGAAATTCAAACAAATTCACAAATGTCATTTTCAACTAGGAAAGGAATGTATAATTAAAATTTGAATTTGAGGAAGTAGAATTAAAATTAAATGAAATTCAAAGAAATTCACAAATGCAGTAAGTGTAATTTTCAGCTAGAAAAGGAATGTATGAATAAACAAATTAAATGCTAACTTGAATTTAAGAAAGTATAATTAAACTGAACTGAAATCCAAAGAATTTCACAAATGTAATGTCATTTTTCAACTAGAAAAGGAATGTATAAATAAAGTAAAATGCTCATTTTAATTTAAGGCAGCATAATTAAAATGAACTGAAATTCAAAGAAATTCACAAATGTAATAAGTGTATAAATGAATGTACAAATAATGTGAATTTTTCAATTTAAGACGAATTTAAAATGAACTGAAATTCACAAATGCAATGTTTAATTTTCAACTAGAAAAGAAATGTGTAAATAAAATGCACACTAGAATTAAAATGAACTGAAATTCAAAGAAATGCACAAATTTCAAACTAGAAGAGGAACGTTTAAAAAATAAATAAAAAATACAATTCTCAAAAAGTAATCGGGATGCTAGCCTTTTTCAGAAAATGATTTCCTCCCATAATACCTCCAGTATTCACAAATATGGCTGATCAGTTGTTATCAAGCACCTGGTTTGTGTCGGTGTCCACCTTCACGGAGATGATTTGATGAGATGGTAGTTCAATTATGAGCACTAACAATAGATGGATTGAATCAGAATCTTTGTGAAGGTGTGCACGTTCAGAGCTCCATTAAACCTGGCCTGCATTAATTTACAATGCCCTTTTTCTGAGCGCATGCCTTTGTCTTCTCACTCTCAAGCCTGATAAATTCAGCTTGTCATTAAATGTTACCTTGAAACAATGCAATCGAAGTAATTGTGTCCAGAACAATGAAGGTGTACGCAGGAGACATCAGCATGGATATATCTTCTCTAACCGTCCTGAGCAGTTCAATGTGAACAGGACACAAAACGGTCACTGCTGAATACAAATATCAGCAGTCACTGTCACTAATCTGACGAAGTGGGAGAAATGAATGGATATTGCAGGAGTATGATAAAACAACTGCTCTTCTCAACTGTATCTTTAAGACGGGTTGTTTAAAATGGAAAGTCATTGTTTTCATTCTTGCATACAGTACATAATTGCAGTCTAATGTGTTTTTAAATATCTAATAGAGACATTATGTGACGACAGGCATCCAAAAACAGTAATATTTTAAAAATATTTTAGAATTTAAAATAACTGTTGTCTATTTGAAAATATTTTAAAATGTAATTTATTCCCCTGATGCAAAGCAGAATTTTCAGCATCATTTCTCCAGTC